AGTACAGATTGTGGAAATTGATGATTCTAGGCGCATACCATCAGTATTCACTGAAGAAAAAAAAATGTAAACATGCAAAACAAAAAAGATAAGAAAGAAAGCAAATGCCCCCTGGCAAATAAGAAGATCAGAACAAATTAAATTGTTGAAAACAAATTCAGTTGATCTTTGTTTCCAGAAAATGACAAGCCAATCGGAATCGGTTAGAAAAGATGAAGATCCCTCAACATTACCACAAGAATCTCCCAAATCTCTATTTCAAAATTGAAATGATCCCAAGCCAAAAGAGGAGACTCAAAACAGTGGAAATTTAATTCAAACTCCCAACCAGCCAAGTCGGTATAATTTCCCTAAGAAACGTTACTGACAGTAATCAATAGTGCTCTGTTCAAAGCACATGGTTTAGTGAGTATCCTTGGCTACAATATGATGAAGAGAAAGGCTCTCTCTTCTATGTTTGTTCAAACCAGTATCAACGGTAACTTGGCAACTTTCAGAAACACTGCACACACATTTACATCCAATGTCTTTTCAAACTGGAAGAAAGCAGTCCTAAAATTCAAGGAACACCAAACTTCACAATGCCATAAACTTGCTGTTGACCGTGAGTTTGTTCTCCCAAAAACTAACTGCAACATTATTGATTAGTCCAACAGCAACTCACAAAAAGTCAGAACAAACTTTGCAGACACTGCAATGCCTTGCACGGCAAAGGATACCCATCCGAGAGAATGATGATCATCAATCTAACTTTATCCACCCACTTAATCTCAGTGTAAAAGTTGATAGTGTTTTAGAAAGTTGGCTGAAGGATAAAGAAGTACCGTACACAATTCACGATATTCAGAATGAAATAATCGCCCTAATGGAAAAAGAGGTAATCATGCAGAGACTTAGTGGGCAAAATAAAAAAAACTTCTTTTCAATAATGTGATGACGTTTTCAACCACTAGACCAGTGAAAACCTGGCTTCGTTCTCAATTGCACCAAGCACGTTTTATTCATTTGTCCATCCTAAACATTCACAAGACAAGACTGGATGGTATTTGCCTGGTATCAGTTGCCAATGCTTTGGTATCACTCAATGACAATCACAAGATAAATTTTGGGAAATTCACAGTGGCCAATTTCCATTAACTATTGTGTTGAGATATAAGTGAGTGCCATTGCTACACTGAACTACTAATTCATAATGTTGAAATATGCCAGGGCAAAACTTATGGACTTCTTAAAATGCCATTTTATAGTTTTTATGAAATTTAGCTACTACTACCAGAGAAATTTTTAAGCAAGGGATCGCATCATAACATTTCAGACTGAATAGTAAACTACTGCCGTTAACGTTAATTCAATTCCTGTTCACTAGTTATTGAAAAAGGAAGAAAAAGGCATAAAAGTATTCACTAGAGTTTGAATCGTACTTGCTCTATTTAGTGATGAGAATTTACAAAGCTACAACCTTGTGACAAATCTGTCAGAAACTTTTCATGTTTATGTATTTTAAACATTTCTGCAGAGTTTCCTTCCTTTCCACACACGGAGAACTTGTGTAAAAGTGCAGGTCAGTGTACTAAGGCCGTGATACATCATGGAGGGCTGAGAAATATGTACAAGTTCACAAAACCTCCAAAATATTTATGTAAAACCTCTAAAAGTACCAGTCACTTTCTACTTTATCCAGGTTCATTTTTTTTAGAAATACACCATGTAGCAGAGATTGGGAAGGCCGTGCGCCATTCGCATATGGCGCATAAAGCTATGAAATAACACATTATGAAACCACCTACTGGGCCTGCAATGCGCCCTAGCTTGAAACAGCTAGTAAAACATACACTATTTTGTGGAGAGGATTTTCATTTGTGAAATTTTCAGTGTAATGACAAATAAACACGCGAGAAATCGCAATGCCTTTGCTGTTTAATCAACATTCAAAAAGCACTTGTTTTGTTTTAGTTCCCAGACCCCTTACTCGGACTCTGTTCATAAATGAGGTTCTTGCTCAATCCATGTGCTTTCTCTTTTTTAATGATAGAATTGGCTGATTCGAATACATTTTGCAGCTGTAATTAGCCAAATAATATGCCTCCGAAAGCAAAAGTTTCAAAAATAGAAGACTCAGATTGTTGCCGTTTTGCACTACGAATGCCAAGCATGCCACAACTAATTTTGATCCTGAAAACAACAATCAAGAGGAAGCTTCCAAGCCTTCTAGTTCTGAGGAATGGAAATAAATAAACGAAAAAATTTTGGTTAACGTTTCATTAACTATTAGAGGGCTACAGGTGTGTTATCAGGGCTTCAAATAATTTCCCAGCTGGCGCCAGTCAAATTGTCCTGTCAAACCTATTTTTGCTCAGACCTATCCCATTTTTGACTGGACAAACATCAATTACATCTTATCGCTATAAAAGTGCCCCCCTCACCCCCTACACATGATGTTTAAATATGAAACATGTACATTTTCAAAGCATTTATTGTACATGAGCATCGACCTCAATGTAGAAAAAGTGGAACGCATGGTACAGCAAATTCAGTATCCCATTTGTGCGAAAATTTGCAATGATAGCCGGAAATTTTATGACAATTACGAATCATTTATTCAAAGCTCTTGGTCTGGTAGTTAAGTATCCACCTTTGTGCGAAAATTTGCAACGATAGCCGGAAATTTTATGACTATTACGAATCATTTATTCAAAGTTCTTGGTCTGGTAGTTAAGTATCTGCCTTTTTTCTCTCCTTTTTCACAAACACCAGTAATATTGAACCTTTAAATATTTAAAACTTGAAACTCTAAATTTTTCCCTTACCAGTGTAAACAACCTGACAAATTGTCTGGCCATCTAAGGATTTGACCAGACAAAACCTATTTTTCACCAGACAGTCTGTTGACCGGTCATTATTTGAAGCCCTGGTTTATGTACAGTTCATGCATAGCTCAAGTTTTAAATTGTAAATGCAACATTACTTGTCACTCTAAATCTAAAACTGAGCATGTCTCAGTGATGTTGATGTCAGACTACTCAGTGTGTTAAGTTTAATCAGTTCCAGTTCAGAATGCATAGTTTAACCTCAGTAGGTTATATAATGAGTTAGCTATATTCTGCTACTGTACACTTTAACCTGGCTTGAAGTCCAGTAAAACATATGAAACAACAGCAATCAAGAATTACGTATTGTTTGTCAAAATTTTTTAATGCCCCATTTATTTACCCTAATGGCCCTAACTTTTTATAAATGGCCCATAACTTTTTAATGCCATGGGCCATAGGCTTATTTGCCTGTTTTACCTTCCCAATCCCTGATGGAGAATGCTAAAAATTCCATTTCCCAGCCTCTAGATTTAAAAATTTTCTGAGGGAGGAAGTCCCCAGACCACCCTACAAACTCGCGCCTCCATCGATCGTTCTCAATTCCCACCCCAACCCCTGCTCAGGTAACTTGAAAACCCGAGACTGTCCGTTTCTCGGAGCATTAACGTATTACACTCTCAGATAACTGTCTGTGCGTATTTTCACTCCAGCTTTGTGTCTATATAACATGCTTAGTTGCCCAGAGTACTTTACAGTTGAAGTCGAAATAAACCGCGCGAAAAACAAACTGGCAGCGAGTAAGTTCACCCCTGCAAAAAAAGAAACAACCTACTGCACACTATACTAACTCTGCAGCTCTACGAATGCTTTCGCTGTAAACCACAAGTCAGCTTTTAATTCACCACGAAAGTTCAGTATTGTATGTCTAAGCCAAAAGATGAACACAAAAATTCCCATTGCAGAGAAGGAATTGCATGGAATAAAAACAGCCGAGACATTTGTACACAAACATTACACTTACCATTTTGTTGATATGAAAGTGAAGCATTTGAGAACATGTACTCTCTGTCGACTTTTCCAGGAGTGAAAAAAAGTTGAAGTTAACCCCTTTTCCCCGCAGACCTGCAGTGCGCTGCAAAATCGCTACAGAAACAAAACCGACTTGGCTTACGCCATCGTGTCACGTGATGTCCAAGGCCCGTTTCTCGGTCCCGAAGGCCGGTCCCGAAAAGTTTTCGCACCCGGAAACCCATGGCAAAACTGGCAAAATCTCAAACCTTATGATTACTGAGCTGTTTTATTCTCTCATTCTTAATATGAACTGAGGCTCTCTTCAAACAAGAAATTTCAGGCCTACGCACCTCCCTGTTCTGAGATATTATTAATTAAAAACCCGAAAAGTTTTCGGGGCTTTCGACAAATGGAGTTGGAACGGACAGCCGTCTCGTGGATTGCAGATCAAACACTGTATTGTGACAAATATTGTTAATAGTTTAAACCAGATTTTTTAGCTTTTCGCGTTGTTTGAAAACTTTTATATCGTAATAAGAGAAACTGCCTAAATTATTTCATTAAAATAAAAACAACAATGGTCTAGATAGCAGCAGACATGTAAAGATTTTAAGGAAAACGACCACTTTTTTAAGTTTAAAAAACA